GTGAAGGGTGTTTTCTTCACCAGGGAAAGAATTCTTCGCTAATCCACCACAGTTGTTTTCCAGTGGTCTTCCGGGTCTTTTGGTGTTTTTTTGCTGAGTCACCGTGTGCGTTCCTTCTTTTTAAGAATGTTCCAAACAGTTGTTTTGGCCACGCCTAATGTTTTTGCTATCTCTCTTGATGGGTTTGTTTTTGTTTTTTCAGCCTAATGATGGCTTCACTGATAGTGACAGCTCTTTGGAAAACTCATCTTGAGGAGTTGACAGCAAACAGATTCCAACATGCAAATAGGTGCTTTTTTTCTTGAAATGAACTCTGGACCTTTTATGTGCTCTCTGTCTTCGTAATTGGGATATTGAGGGAGAATAACACACACCTGGCCCATGGAACAGCTGATGAAGCCAATTGTCCCATTACTTTTGGTCCCTTAACAAGTGGGAGGGCACTTATGCAAACTGTTGTAATCTACACCCGTTTTCACCAGATTTGGATGCTAAATACCCTCAAATTAAAGCCTGACAGTCTGCAGTTAAAGCACATCTTGTTTGTTTCATTTCAAATCCATTGTGGTGTCTATAGAGCCAAAATGTTAGAATTGTGTCCAACTGTCCATGTCCCAATATTTATGGACCTGATTGTAAATTTATCTTGTATATCCAGACCAAACCCCCCATATCCTGCTCCTGTGTATGGAAGTGATGGGAGAACCTTCACCCTCCTGAACCCGACTCTCTGGGATTCCATTCTCTAAAACTTAGCTCTGCTCAGAATCCCGCCCTCTAGAATCCTGGTGATCTAGAGGACTTCTTGATAATCCCACCCTACAGGCTCGCACCCTCTAGAACCTCTTCCTAATCCTGCTACCTAGGGTCCCACCCTTTAGAGATCCCAACTCTCTCTTCAGACACCAATTGTGACCTATTGGTGTCATTTGGAGGCATTGTCCCCCACTATTGGTGTCATTGGGACAAAACTGTGCCTCCGTTTATCAATGGTGGGGAATTATGTCCCATTGATTGGTGTCAGTGGATAAAATTGGGGTGCCCCCAAAGGGGGCTGGATAAAAGCAAGCAGAGGGTCACAGTTTGGAGACCACCGCTCTAGAACCTAGAACTTCTTAGGGATAATCCTACCCTACAGAGTCACACTTTCTAGAACCTCTTCCTATTTCCGATACCTAGGGACCCACCCTTAGAACCCAAAAGGATCCTCTTCAGAATCCTGCTCTCTAGAAATCGCACATCTATAAATCCTGCACTCTAGAACAGGGGGTCTTCAAAACTTTCTAAGCAAAGGGCCAGTATACTGTCCATTCAGATTTTTTATTATAAAGAAGGGGGTCCCAGACATTAGCTATTGGGAGGATGAAAAGGTCCTGACATCGAGTGGGACAATAGACAATGTCCCAATAATATCCCATCATTGGTATCAGTGGGAGGAATAGTGCCCCATCATTGGTATCAGTGGGAGGAATAGTGCCCCATCATTGGTGTCAGTGGGAGGAATAGTGCCCATCATTGGTGTCAGTGGAGGAATAGTGCCCCATCATTGGTATCAGTGGGCCGAGTATTCAGAGCCCCCATCTTTGGTGCCAGTGGGGGGAATATGTGCCCCATCATTAGTGTCAGTGGGAGGAAATAGTGCCCCATCATGGTGTCAGTGGGAGGCAATAGTGCCCTCATCATTGGTGCCAGTGGGAAGAATAGTGCCCATCATTGGTGTCAAGTGGGAGGAATAGTATGCCCCATCATTGGTGTCAGTGGAGGAATAGCGCCCCATCATTGGTATCAGTGGGAGGAATAGTGCCCCAATCATTGTCGTATTCACTATGGGAGGAATATTGCCCCATCAAATTGGTGTCAGTGGGAGGAATAGCGCTCCAATCATTTGTGTATCAGTGGAGGAATATAGCGCCCATCATTGTATCAGTGGAGGAATTAAGTGCCCCATCATTGGTATCAGTGGAGGAATAGTGCCCCATCATTGGTATCAGTGGGGAGGAAAAAATTAGTGCCCCATCTTTGTGTCAGTGGGGGGAATAGTGCCCCATCATTACGTGTCAGTGGGAGGAATAGTGCCCCATCCATTGGCGTGTCAGTGGGAGGAATAGTGCCCCTTCTTGTGGTGTCAGTGGTAGGAATAGTGCCCCATTTCATTGGTGTCAGTGGGAGGAATATGCCCCATCATTGGATGTCAGTGGGAGGAGTAGCCGCTCCTATCATTGGTATCAGTGGGAGGAATAGTGCCACCGCGTCATTGGTGTCAGTGGGAGGGGAATAGTGCCCCATCATTGGTGTCAGTGGGAGTAATAGCGCCCCATCATTGGAAATCCGTGAGAGGAATAGTGCCCCATCATTAGGTATCAGTGGGAGGAATAGCGCTCATCATTGGTATCAGTGGAGGAATAGTGCCCCATCATTGGTGTCAGTGGGAGGAATAGTACCCCATCATTGGTGTCCCGTGAGACAAGGAATAGTGCCTCATCATTGGTTTAAGTAGGAGGAATAGCGCCCGTCGGTTGGTGTCGGTGGGAGGAATCTTGAGCGCCCCGTGTTGGTGGCTCGGTGGGAGGAGTAGTGCCCCATCATTTGGTTCAAAATCAGTCGGGAGGAATAGTGCCCCGATCATTGGTATCAGTGGGAGGAATAGTGCCCCATCATTGGTGTCAGTGGGAGGACTAGTGCCCATCATGGTGTCAGTGGAGGAATAGTGCCCCCCCATCGTTGGTATCAGTGGGAGGAATAGAAGCCCCATCATTGGTGTCAGTGGGAGGAATAGTGTCCCATCGTTGTAGTCAGTGGGAGGAATAGTGCCCCATCATTGGTGTCAGTGGGAGGAAATAGGTGCCCATCAAATTGGTGTCCAGTGGAGGAATAGTGCCCCATCGTTGGGTGTCAGTGGGGAGGTCGATAAGTGCCCCATCATTGGTGTCAGTGGGGGGCAATAGAATCCAACTCTCTTTAGAATGCTGCTTTCTAGAGTTACATTCTCTAGAATCCTGTTCTCAAGGATCCCTCTCACTAGATTCCGGTTCTCCAGGATCCCACTCAAGAACCTCTTTTCAGAATCCTGCTCTCAAGAATCTCACTCTCTAGAATCCTAAATGTTTAGCACTTAATTTTTTTTAGAAGCTGGCTTTTTTACAGAATCCTGCTTTTTAGAGTCATAACATTCTCTAGATTCCTGTTCTTGGTGGGATCCCACTAAGATCCTCACTCTCTCTCCTGCTCACTAGAAACCAGCCAGCTCTCTTCAGAATCCTGCTCTCTAGAATCCCACTATGGAACCTCTTCGGAATCCTGTTCTCTAGGGTCCCACACTCTAATACCCCTCCTCAGAATTCTGCTTTCTAGAGTCACATTTCCTAGAATCATGCTCTCTAGGGTCTCACTCTCTAAAACCTCTTCAGAATCCTGCTATCTGTGGTCCCATACTCTAGAGTACGGGGGTCAAACTGGTGGTCTTCCAGATGTTGCCAAACTACAAGTCCCATGAGGCATTGCAAGATTGACAGTTACAAGCATGACTCCCAAAGACAGAGGCATGATGGGACTTGACACCCCTGCTCTAGACCTTCTTCAGAATCCTGCTTTCTAGAGTCACATTCTCTAGAATTCTGCTCTCTAGAGTCTTAATCACTAGAATCCTGCTCTCTAGGATCCCGCTCTCTAGATCCTAGCTCTCTTCATAATCCTGCTCTCTGGGGTCCCATTGTTCTGAAGCCTCTTCTAAGTCCTTCTCTCTAGAATCCCACTCTGTGGAACCTCTTCGGAATCCTGCTTTCTAGGGTCCCACTCTCTAATACCTAGCTCTCTTCAGAATTTTGCTTTTTGAGTCACATTTTCTAGAATCCTGTTCCCTGGGGTCACACTCTTTAGAATCTTGCTCTCTAGATCCCAACTGTTTAGAACTTTGTTTTCTAAAACCTAGCTCTTTTTACAGAATTCTATTCTCTAGGGTTACATCCTCTAGAATCCTTCTCTGTAGAACCTCTTCAGAATCCTGCTCTCCAGGTCGCCCTCACTAGAATCCTTCTCTCTAGGATCCCAACTCTACAATTTTTTCATTCTCTAGCACGTAGCGCTCTTCAGAATGCTGCTTTCTAAAGCCACTTTTTCTAGAATCCTGATCTCTAGGATCCCAACTCTTTAGAAGTCCATTCTCTAGAACCTAGCACTCTTCAGAATCTAGGATCCCAACTCTTTAGAATTTAATTCTCTAGAACCTAGCGCTCTTCAGAATCCTGCTTTCTAGAGCCACCTTTTCTAGAATCCTGATCTCTAGGATCCCAGCTCTTTAGAAGTCCATTCTCAAACCTAGCAATCTTCAGAATCTAGGATCCCAACTCTTTAGAATTTAACTCTCTGAGAACCTAGCGCTCGTCAGAATCCTGCTTTCTAGAGCCACTTTTTCTACAATCCTGATCTCTAGGGTCCTACTCACTAGAACCCGGCTCTCTTGGATCCCAACTCCGTTCTCTAGAACCCAGCTTTTTTGCAGAACCCTTCTCTATAGAGTCACATTCTTGGAATTCTGATATGTAAGGTCCCACTTTTTTCAGAATATTGCTCTGTAGAACCCCATATTCTAGAGTCCCACTCTAGTTGCCTCGCTCTCTAGACTTTAAGTCAAGAAACCCGGTGAGCTCCATAAGAAATCGTTCTGCCCCAGTGCTGGTCTGATCCACCATCATTTCTGGTTTGGGCTCCAACAATTGCCGTGTGGCAATGCACCCAATGAAATATTGGCCTCTGGAAACACTTTGAACGTTCCCTGCGAGGGGCTCCTGTGAAATGTCTTCGGTCGATCTGTCTGTCCTAGAAAAGGTAAGGGTGGTGAGTTTGGGACTTGGTGGCCTGTGTGACCTTCCTGTGGTGGGGGGTATGGATGGGTGTGGGGGGGGAGGGGGGGTGAGGGGGTTTGGAGTTCAGCCTTTTTCTCCCAGCAGTTTCCACTTTTTTTCCAGCTCTCTAATCTTCTCTTCTTGGCTCTCCATCTACAGGACCACAACATTTCCGAGGAGTCGGAATGTGATGACTTTGACCCCGGTGCTAGCATGGAGGTAGGGCGATTCTTGTGTGCAGTGTTTGACTCACGCTTTCTCGAAACTGCTAGTTGACTGGCTGTCATGCTGACCCAACGGCTTTATAACTTATGCTGGATCAAGAATGCAACCGTGAAAGTCCAAGAAAGTCAGGCCTGTTCTAGGTCAGTGTCTCAAGTGGCACCGAGGCTACTGGATCCGCATGAGAGCCAGGCAACAAGCATTTTCAGAAAGATAGGTAAACTTTGTTTTTCTCTCTGCACAGGTTTCCTGCTCCAGCAATCCTCGTATTGTTTCTAATAGATTCATTCCTGTATCATCAGCTCCATCTAGTGGCCGGAATGTGAAATACCTCAGTGAGAAAATATTCCTCATTTTGGTCACTAGATGGTGCTGATGATACAGGAACAAAACTATTGATAAAAATATGGAGATGTTCCGTTCAGATTGCGGGAATGTTTCCTGACATCCATCCAAGGAATGTTTGACCCCCAGTACAGATCCTTTCCTCCAGTACAGATTCCCCCCCCCCCCCCCCACCACACACACACACACACACACACCCCACCCCACCAGCCAGCACAGCTGCTGTTCCAGCACACTCCTGCCCTATTACAGATCTCCTCTTAGTATCCACTTCACCTGCAGTACAGATCTCCCCCAATGCAGCTTCCCCTCCCCCGATTTATAAAGCCCCCCCCCCCAGTACAGATCCTTTCCTCCAGTACAGATTACCCCCCACCCCCCACCCTTTCCCTAGCACAGCATTCCTGTTCCAGCACACTCCTGACCCATTACAGATCTCCACTCAGTATCCCCTCCCCCTGCCCCACCTGCAGTACAGATCTTCCCCCCCAATACAGCTTCCCCCCCCCTCCAATTATAAAGCCCTCCCTCCCCCAGTACAGATCCTTTCCTCCAGTACAGATTACCCCCCCCCCCTCCACCCCCCTTTCCCCTAGCACAGCTCCTGTTCCAGCACACTCCTGACCCATTACAGATCTCCCCTCAGTATCCCCTCCCACACTGCAATACAGATCTTCTACCCCCCAATACAGCTATACATCTTCCCCCCCCGATTATAGAGCCCCCCCAGTACAGATCCTTTCCTCCAGTACAGATCCCCCACCCTTTCCCCCCCCCCCCAGCATGGCTGCTGTTCCAGCACGCTCCTGCCCTATTACAGATCTCCTCTTAGTACATCCTCCTCCCACCTGCAGTACAGATCTCCCCCCCCCAATACAGCTTCCCCACCCCCCCAAATTATATAACCCCCCATTACCCTCCCCTCAGTACAGATCCCCCCACAAGTACAGATCTCCTCCCTCTGCCCCCAGTACAAATCTCCCCTTAGTAACCCCTCTCCCCTCCCCACCCTAGCAGATTTTACAGTAACACCCCCCCCCCATCTTCCCCACCCCCCCCATTGATTATAGAGCCCCCCAGTACAGATCCTTTCCTCCAGTACAGATCTCCCCCTCCCCCCCCCCCCCAGCACAGCTCTTTTCCCAGCACACTCCTGCCCTAGTACAGATCGCCCGTTAGTAATCTCTTCTCCCCTGCAGTACAGATCTTCCCCCAGTATACAGCGTCTCTCCCCATCAATTATAGAGTTCCCCCCCAGTACGGATCCTTTCCACCAGTACAAATCTCTCCCCCAGCACACACTCCTGCCCCAGTATGAATCTCCCCTTAGTACCTCCCCCTTCAGACAGAGTTTCCCCAATACAGCTCCCCCCCCTCGATTATTATTTTCTCCAGTAAAGATCTCCGTCCACCCCCCAGCACAGCTCCTGCCCCAGTACAGTTCATCCATTAGTATCCTCTTCCCCTCCTGCAGTACAGATCTTCCACCAATATAGCTTCCTTCCCCCATGAGTTCCCCCTGTACAGAGCTTTTCCTCCAGTACAGATGCTCCCCCCTCCAGTACAGATCCTTTTCCTTCAGTACAGCTTTCCCCCCTCCAGTACAGATCTTCCCCCTCCAGTACAGATCCTTTTCTTCAATACAGCTTTCCCCCCTCCAGTACAAATCTTTTCCTCCAGTACAGATCACCCATTGTCGTATCCTCTTCCCCTCCTGCAGTACAGATCTTCCACCAATATAGCTTCCTTTCCCCATCGATTATAGAGCTCCCCCCCTGTACAGATGCTCCCCCCTCCAGTACAGATCCTTTTCTTCCGTACAGCTTTACCCCCCTCCAGTACAGATCCTTTTCTTCAGTACAGCTTTTCCCCTCTCCAGTACAGATTCCTTTACTCCAGTACAGATCTCCATCACCCCCCCACACACGCACACACTCCAGTACAGATCCCCCCCTTCAGTACAGATCCTTTCCTCCAGTACAGATCCCCAACACCCCCCCTCCCCCACACTCCAGTACAGATCCTTCCCTCCAGTCCAGGCCCCCCCTCTTCAGTACAGATCCTTTCTTCCAGTACATATCCTAATCACCCCTCACCCCCCCCACCCCCCACCCACTCCCAGTACAGATTCCCCCCATTCTGTAGAGATCCTTTCCTGCAGTACAGATCCCCATCACACCTCCCCCCCCACTCCAGTACAGATCCCCCCCCCCCCTCCAGTACAGATCCTTTCCTCCAGTACAGATCCTGCCCCAGTACAGAGTATTGGAAAACATATGGAGATACTTCATTCAGCTCCCGACAACCAAGGAAAGTTTTATAAAATGACCTCATAAAATCTCCAACTTACCGTTATTTTACGGACGCGTTATAAACCGAAATGGTGAAAAAAATGAAATATTATAACAGAGAAACGTTTCTAGTCATTGAATGTGTATTGATGAGCTGTGTGATGTCATCCGCCATGAAGACATTTACATTCCAGAAGCCACAGCCGCCATTTCCATCTTCCATGTATGGCGGATTTCATACACCAGAAACTTCGTTTTAAATTGTAACAAAACTTTGCAGCTTTAGATAAAAGTTGTATCTAAACCTTGGAACAAACGTGTCATTGCAGCCTACCAGTCCTCAGATGTGGCGGCTGCATTAGTCTTCTTTTTATTTTTCATGGCTAAGAACGTTTTCCAGCGAATACAGAAATTTCCCGTGATCCTGCCCAGAAATGCCGTGTCCTGGTCACTTCCCTGTGAGCTGAACTGAAATCACAAAGAATCCCATCTTTCCTCTTTCATTAAACTACTAATCGCCTCACCCCCCCCCCCCCCCCCCCATGGAATAGAGAGAGGAAGACATAGCTGTCCAAGTCCAGCCTGGGTGACAACCAGGGGCGGACTGACCATTTGGAAACTCAGGGCACTGCCCGAGGCCCAGGGTCAGTAGGGGCCCCATGAGATGCCCCTGGTACCTTTTTCATAGCTTTTTTGGGTTTGGGCAAGGACACAGGGGCCCCATGATCCCCTATTGCCCCGGGGGCCCCATGAGTTGTCATTCAGTCCCTGCAGTCTTCCCTCCATAGATACAGCGGAGGAGTGATTGTAGCCATTCAGAGACAGGAGGCGTGTTTTGGCTGGCAGGATCACCAGGTGAAAACGAAGGAGAAAAAAAAAACTAAAAAAAGAAAAGGAATGCAGCCACCTCACGATCGAAGTCCTGGTAGGCTGCAATATATGACGCTTTACATCTGAACTCTGGGATAATCAAATATTGTCTAGGGCCGTTCACGTCATAGAAAACGCAGTTTGGAAGCGTTTTTGCATGCACGTTTTTTGATGTGTTTTTTAATGCAATATTATGCATTTCAGCGCATTTTTTTCCCCTCCTTTTTTTTTTCGGCATCAAAAACACATGGATAGGTGATACGGTTTCCAATGGCGTAGTTCACACCAGTGCGGTCTGTTCCAGTTCCAAAAAAAAAAGTAATGCATCCTTGTTGTGCTGGAACGCGGTAAAATGCATCAAAAACGCACCGGAACACACGGAAATGTAAATTTCGAAAGGAACTGAAAATAAAAAACTGAATTTTAAAAAAATAGAACAGAAAAAAATTGAGTAGAATAAAATAAATTAGAATATAGCTGTCTTCTGAAAATTTGAATTTAGAATAGAGAATAAAAGAAGAGGATTTCAAAAGAATAGAATAGAAAAAGTGAGTAGCATAGAATAGAATGTAGACATCTACCGCAATTTCAATGTCGAAATTTAATTTTTTTCATAAATGTAAAAATATAAAATGTATACAAATGTATATAAAAAAAAAATAGAGCGCTCTCTTTTAACATTAAAATCTGATCACAATCCACAACAACAGGTCGTCAGTTCTGCTGTATTACAAACGTGATGTGCGGCATGCTGGATCAACGCGTTTCACATTCGAACCGACTTGCTTCTTCAGGACTATAGAGTTCCCCCTGTTCAGAGCTTTCCTTCAGTACAGATGTTCCCCCCTCCAGTACAGATGCTCCCCCCTTCCAGTGCAGATGCTCCCCCCTCCAGTACAAGCTTTCCCCCCTCCAGTACAGATGCTCCCCCCCATCCAGTACAGCTTTCCCCCCTCCAGTACAGATGCTCCCCCATCCAGTACAAATCTCCCCCCCTCCAGTACAGATCCATTACTTCAGTATAGCTTTCCCCCCCCCTTCAGTACAGATTCAAGCTGCATCACCCCCTCCCCCCAGTACAGATCATTTCCATCAGTACAGCTCCCTCCCCCCAGTACAGATCCTGTCCAGTACACTCCTGTCCCAGTACAGAGTATCTATTGGAAAACACATGCAGATACTTCGTGATGTGCAGCATGCTGGATCAACGCGTTTCACATTCAACTTGCTTCTTCAGGATTATAGAGTTCCCCCCTGTTCAGAGCTTTTCCTCCAGTACAGATGCTCCCCCCTCCAGTACAAATATTCCCCCTCCAGTACAGATCCTTTACTTCAGTACAGCTTTCTCCCCCTTCAGTACAGATCCTCATCACCCCCCTCCCCCCCCACTCCAGTACAGATCCTTTCCTCCATTACAGATCCTCATCACCCCCCCCCCCCTCCAGTACAGATCCCCCCCCTTCAGTACAGATCCTTTTCTCCAGTACAGAA